CTTAGACCCGCAACCCGCCAAATAACTCACAAGTCACTTCAAGCCAAACACACACACACACACACAATGCCACATTCACTACACATACTACTTCTTTTGTGTCTTGCTCTAAGAGGAGCCAGATGCAAAGTAGCACATGCTTGTGTTTCCCAAATTGGTGTGTGTGTGTACCTGTGTCTTTTTGCATTTTAAATGTGTGTGTATCTTTTTCTTTGTGTTTGGTTTTTCTTTGTTTCTTTTCTGTTCTTGTTGACATGCAAACTGTACATGCTCACGAATCTAGTTTGTGTGCACATGCTGTGTGTCTCCCGGTTACAGAGATGTTGTTTTGACTAAACCTTAAGTATTTTTTTGTCTTTTGGTGTGCTGACTCAACTGATCTGGTGTGTGTGTGTGTGTGTGTGTGTGTGTGTGTGTGTGTGTGTGTGTGTGTGTGTGTGTGTGTGTGTGTGTGTGTGTGCAGTAATGTATTGACCTTGTCTGTTATTGCCAGTTCCCAGAAGGTTGATGAATAAATAAAGGCGTGACGCTTCCCCAGCGAGCCTGTGTCTGACTGAACGACACCACACACAATGTCAATCACACGCACTTTACTCACAATCCATCTGCCACTCTGTGTGCAGTCCTATATTTGCACGGTGGAATAATGCTGGTTCCCTGCGATACTCAGGCTGAGAATTGTACCTGTTCTGTGCCTCTGCATTTATGTGTGAGTGTGTCGCTATGTGTGGAGCTTGTTTTGTTTTGGATAGGCTCTTTCGTTTTTCTAAACTGTATTCAAGTGCAAAGTTAATTCTTGCAGCAATACTGCTGTAACTCAAGACTCTTTGCAACCATTTGCTCTTACTTATTACGTATTGTATGTGAGCATCTTTCACATATAATACAAAACAACTACTTGTTGGTAATGACATGTTCTTCCCTGAGTCTAGAAAGAGAAGATTTGGAAGGTTAAAAACCGAGTCCATGTCCCTCTCTACTGTTTTTCTTATTGTTAGTCCACTTGACTGTTTCAGCAGAACTGTGCAAGGTGTAGGTACAGCAGAATTTTCATCACAAATATTTTGCAAGCCAGTCGTGGTCATATATGCTGCTTACATGAGTGTTACTTGAGTGTCCTGTGAATAGAGATTTTGTTGCAACCCATATTTTCACTGAAAAGCATATTTGCCCATGCATACATTTGGCATTTTGCTTTTAAACGAGAGGGAGGAGCTGTACATTTAAATTATTTTTAATGAGGTAATCAAACTGTTTTGTATCAATGTTTTCTTTGTAGAAACACACACTCTCATAACACTCACATACAGACATAAACAGGGCAGTGTGGCGGGAGTGGTCAGTAAGATGAAGTGCCAGACCAGTGCTGAGGTCATGAAGGTTAGAGCGTTGTGGGGGTCAAAGGTCAGGCCAGACTGCACGTGCCCAAATCGGGTGGCCTAGCAACCAGGCAGGGGGAGGTGAGATCTATAAAAAAGGAGGGAAGCTAATGTAAGAGATGAAATCCTAACGCGCATCTTCTCTGACACAACATTAAAACCAGTGAACACAGTTGTGGGATTTTCTTTCTCTGTCTGATTTAGTGCTTTTACGTCATTTTGGCGGGGGCGCCCACTGATTTTTATTGCATTCCATCCTCTCATTAATAACAAAAACATTACCGCTGCAGTCACATGAACATGGTTTTGCATTACATGGCCTAATTCCCAAATGTAATCTGAAGGGGTGCTCCTCCCAAGATAGACTCACTAGCTGTACTGGACTTTTTATTGAACTTACTGAGTCTCTACCTGTAATTTGTTTGATGGATCGCCCGGTCACTGGCAGGTCATGTTTAGTTTTTGGCCTTTTTTTGTCTTTACATTTTTGTCTACATTATTTCACTCTCTAGACACTGCCCAAACTCTCATTAAGAACACTATAACTCATAATAATGGCTGTCATGAAACCCAAGTAAGCTGGGGCCTTATTGGGAAGCATAAAGCACAGGTTTAAGGTTACTCTTGTCTCTAAGTGTATTCACACCACCTATTCTTGTCCCATAATTAAATTACTTACATCCTAACAAAGAAATGCACTGCTTTAGTTAGGCTTCATCTAGTTTTTTGCTCACATGGATTACATGAAAATGAAATATATTTCACATTTACTTTCCTCCTGCGGTGTCTTGTAATCACTCCTGACAATTATGTGAAGTTTTTATTTTTCATGTGTACCTTTTATACATTTCCTTCAACTATGCATTTCCTTTGACACTCCTTTTTTCTATGGGTAACACACACATGGTATTCATAAATGTATGTTTTTGTTCCTAATTTAAAGAGAAAGTTAACACATGTAGTACATAGCAAGTGGACAACTTTGATGTGGGATTACTGGTTTTAGGTCACTATGATTTAAGTAAGCAATAAATTCCTTCATGCCTTGTTTATGTCCCTCTCTCTCACACAGACACACACACAAACACACACACACACACACACACACACACACACACACACACACACACACACGCACACACACACACTCGTATAATGACTTGTCCCGTTAGAGTTCAGGGTTAGAGACATCAAAGCCAAGCAGACAGCCAAATCAGTAGCCACTTTCAGACGTGCACTTTACTCCGTAGATGTGCTGGCAGTCTTTGGTGTCCACGTCGTGTTGGGTTATGCAAAAGTCCCCCATGATGTCTGACTATAAACGTGATTGCATTTACATTACACTGCTACCAGACTAGTTATAAATCAATGCAATTACAACAAAAAAGGCTACAACATACATACATATGTTGTAACCTTTTTTTTTTATTAATTGTATTATTGAAGGCATGTGTTGTTCCACTAAGATAACATTTTAAATACTTTAATACATTTTTTAAATGCTGACAATGAAATGTGTTAAAAAATAGAAAACATCACAAGTTGCAGAGGAGATACTCTTACAGTGCAAGAGGCTTTGAAAATGGCTTCAAGTGATTTTATGATGTTTGTTTTGACAATTGTCCAGAATAGTCTTCACATTAAATGACACAAGGGTATGTTTTCGTAGTTTTGTCATGTAATTTGGTTTTACTTGAAGCTAGAATAGTTTCCCGTCATCTCTCTCTCCATCTCATGCATACACAAGGATCCACTGTGCCAGCAGTATATATTCTCCCCCATCTTTTCTTCATTGATTATTAAGCCCTAGAATGTAGGAATAGTCACACTTCCTCAATCTCTGTTTTCCTCACACCTCCTCCGTACCACACCCAGACAAAGATACCTGCACAGCACACACAGAGGTAACAGGCATAGGAAGTGTGCGAGCTCCACATATATACTTTAAAACCAAGTCTATTTGCCTAATGAAGTCATTCTAAACGAAAAATGTATTGGCAAATAGTGAAGTCAGAAAGAAAAAAAAAAATCCAAGCTAGTAAGACATCATGACAACAGGGGACTAAAAGGAAGGCGCAGATTGAAGAAGAAACAAAGAGAGAACATGTGAGAGGGAGATGAGAGCATATGGATGGGGGAGGAAGAGCGAAAAACTAATTAAAGAAAGTAGAGTTTTAGTTGGGTGTTGATTCCATGAGGAGTAATGGTCCCAGGTGTGTGAGATGAGGGGAAACGGAGGAGATGAGGGAAGGGGAAGGAAACTAGGTCCCCATACACCATATGTTCTCTATATTTCCCACTTTCTTCTCCCTCTCCCATTCCCTTTCTTACCAGGCTTTTCACTGGCTCTCTGAAAAAATCTTGGATTGCCCGCTCGGTCCATTATTGCCATGTCCTGCAGGTTAAGTAGGGTGACAATGGATTGATTGGGCGGAGTTATTGTGTAACTGTTTGAATTAGGGCTGAACGATGAATCGTGTCATGGCGATAACGGCGATATGGCATGCGCTCAGTGCGTGTGTGTGTGTGTGTGTGTGTGTGTGTGTGTGGG